TACCCTGGAAATTTTCAAGAGGAGACTGGACAGTCACCTCGCTGGGATTGCCTGACCCCAGTTGTCTTTCCTGCTTGATGCAGGGGGATGGACCCGGTGTTCTTCAGAGGTCCCTTCCAGCCTTACTATCTATGAATCTATAAACACTTTTTTCACACCCCATGATGTTCCCATGGTAACAGTTTAAAAGAAATCCTTTAAAAGGATGTCCTTTTTCCTGTTCCCTTCACAATGAATGGCTTTCATTTAAAAAATAAATAAATAAAAATGTAAAACTTACCAGCTATAAAACAGAGATCGTCAGTCATTCTCTATATTAGAGGTTTTGAAACTGTGGTCCGCAAGCTCCGTTCAGGTGGTCCACAGAAAGGTGACCTAAGGCTAAAGCTGACCAACATTACACCTGACTTCCCAGAACTTTGCTCCAAAAAAACAGGCACATCCATTGCATTAGAAAGGTAAGACTACTGATAATAAAATGAGTTGTGTGCTTTGATTTGTAGAACAAAAAAAAGTTTAAGTGGTCTGCCGAGACCCTCAGCAATTTCTGAAGTGGTCTGCAAAAAAAAAAAAGTTTGAGAACCTCTGCTCTAGATAGATCTTTAGCTTTCTTGATAAATCCTCAGTAAACACTTACTACAGAAACTAAGTAACTGTTATGATTTAGTCTACAGGCAGTCCTCAGACTTACAACACAATTGGTTCCTGAAAACCATGTCTTAAGTCGAAATGTTGTAACTCGGAACCGATTTTCCCATAGGAACAATGTTATAAATGGGGGGTTGGTTCCTGAACCAAGACCCGATACCCTATTTTCACCAAAAATAACCTAGAATTTTGTACCCGTTCAATTATAGATGAGTAATATAGCTACATGAATGTATTTATATTGTAAATAGCAATCGTTGTTTTGGAAGGACTTCTTTGAGGAGACTTTGCTGGACATTTTGAAGGGCTCTTGGTTGGACTTTTTGAAGGGTTCTTGGCTGGAGTCTTCTCAGGAGTCCTGGCTGCAGGTTTTTCTGGAGTCTTGTCTGCTTTCTTAAAGAAAGCGTCCAAGGAAGTTTGGACAGATGTTCTCCAGGGAGACGGGTGATGCAGCGAACTTGTTCACTGGCATGGCATGGCGTCAGATCAAGTGTTGTAAAGTTGAAACTGACCTCAGAAAGTTGAACAGGGTGTCAATTTATAAATGTTGTAAGTGTGAAACTTTGTAACTCAAAACATTGCAAGTCAAGGACTGCCTGTATTGTACGCTAAAGCTACTTCGTATGCTGCCTGCAGGTTTTCATCAAATATTCAGGATGACACATGTGCCACATGTGCATTTGATTTCTCAAAATTCATCTCCCAGCCTCTTCCTTGTGTGTTGGCACAGGACTTAGTTCATAGTGTGCTTGGGCCAGGATATGACTCCTAAGTACTACTGCAAAAAGAATAGTAAAAGCCCTATTTTATTCAAAGGAGGCCAGAATTTCTCTTTTGCAGCTTGGTAACTGGATGGTTGCAACAGGGGAGGAGGAGAGGGTGTCTCACTTGTCAAGTTACTCCACATTTTCAACAAACACACCTATAATCTTATATACTCTCAAAGTAGTTTTTTTTGATCATATGTGCACATCCCTCTACCTTTTTACTGTATACTAATTTTTAAAAAGGAATAAAGAGAGAAGATGCTGAAGACAACTGTCTTTAGATATGAAATATGCTTTTATTTGAAAGAAACAGTATCTGTTAAGCTAGAGGCTACATAGTGTACACCTCACTGCTACTCATACAAGACTTAAGCCTTAAGCCAAAAAGCTCAAAACAATTCATACAGGCTATTCAGTACAACACCGAAAAAGTAAAACAAAACATCACAGTCACTATTGCCCTTTACGTTTCTGGTCTCAAATGTCTGCATGTACATCAGAATTACTTGGGCTAGTTCACACTTCAACACAAAACAGATTGAATATGTTCCCTGGCAGCACAAATGCTGACTGTTATGCAACTACAGTGAATACATACAGAAAGTTAGAGAATTTCACCAAAAAAAAAAAAAGTTTAATTTTTGCAAAGTGATCAAAGATCTAATTAGGTCTTAGGAATACATGAGAAAAACGCTTCATTTAGAAAACTTTGGAAGGGAAGCTGCACAGAACTGCTGCAGAACTCAGTATAATTTACAATGCTTTGCTTCATGCTTTCCTGCACAATGCAAAAGAGATGAGATTCTAGTTGGTGGTAGCACTGTACACTATCAAACAAGCTTTGTAGGACAACACAGCTGCAGAATCCACTAAAACAATCAAACTGCTAACAGCCTTTTACAGAGAATGATTCAACCATTGTAGAGTCCGCTTTTCAGAAGGGAGCTGTGTGTGTTCATTCCTCTGCCCAAACTACCCACTACTGATAAACCAAAAAAACCCTTAAAATAGCAGTTTTCAGATTTCGCTTAATTTAGACATTCCCATCCCTGCTGCTTTCCACTTCATAGCGTGAAGCAACCTAAGACTGCTCATCTGGCATTAATCCACCACAAAGGCACCCAAAGTAAATTCACAAGCAGCTTTAAATGTGATATGCTCCACACCTGTGCAGCTATTTAACCTGCAACAGTTCCACCCGAAGGGTAGGCAGTAGTTACTGGCAAAACTGTCACCTGATAAAGCACCAGATTAAGACTTTCTAAGATGTTACTGAAGTGGTGAGCTATCATGTGTGACCAAGAGAATTTCAGTAATGAATGTGTGTGTCACTCGCTCTCACTCCCTCACAAGTAAATCAACTGTTAGCAGCAAGCCTGGAGATGCTGCACGCTTACAGAAATTTAGCTCAAGGGTCCTGATAAAAATTGGGCTTCTAAGCCATGTTTCTCGTTACTGCTGTTGTGACAGGAAGGCTACCCACACTGAGTGGTGTACTTGGAATTTCTAGCTAGCGTCTTTGAGCATTTCAGGTCATACTTTAAAAAAAGGCAGAAAAGTATTCTTGCTTTTAAAAATGAACTTGGACACTTCCCTTAGGTAACATATTTTTTTTTCTTATCAGTACATGTCATGCCCACTGTAAAACAAGGCAGGTTTTTTGGCCAACTTATACTTTCTTAACATTCTAATATATACCTCTCTACTGTGTATGTGTATTATTCATATCTCAGAGTCATTGGATAGGCAGTTTTTGAGCAATACCACACAGTGTCCTTAATGATAAAGTGTCATGCTGGATACCTTAGGAGCTAATGACATGTCCTGACCAGGTCTCATGTTTTGTGCCAGGTGCAAGATGGGTAATAACCACTTCTACAGCCTGCAGTTTCTCATTCTTAGGTGGAATAGAGCACAGCTTGTAGGTGACTTCATCTCCTGACACTGGAACATATTCTCCCTCGATGCTGTAGAGAAATAAAAACAAAGAGAGGGCCAGGTAAACAGAGCGTTAGTGGGCACTGGTGGGTGAAGCACTGGTGTTAGAGGGAGGCAGTTTTTGCTGTAGAGCAGCACTCTGCTTCATCGACCTAACAGTTGGCTACAGTGGGCCATGACCCAACATCTACCAGAAGTGCATGGGCCACCCCCCCCACAACACATCCACTCACTCACCACACTCACTCTCCTGCAACCAACTCAAAGTGTGCCTCTGCATTTCCCCATTTTTGGGAGGGGGATAGGGAGAAAGTCCTCAACACCCTGCCTAGCAGCAGTGTAGTGCATCCCCGCCCTCACCCCAAGCCAACCATGTTCTGCAGGTCTGCTACCATAGGAATTCCTCTATTCCTGCAGTAGGATATGGAAATTTATCAAATTCATTGAAGTGCTGTAGCAGCCATCTATGATCCTCTCACACCAACCACTAAACCTCCCTCCCTGCCCCCACCCACCTAGATACAGTACAGTCACAATTACTGTACAGGCAGTCCTTGGACTTATGACACAATTGGTTCCTGAAAACTGCGTCAAGTCGAAACGTAACGTGGAACCAATTTTCTCATAAGGACAGTGCTATAAATGGGGGGTTAGTTCCTGAACCAAGCCCCAATACCCTCTTTTCATCAAAAATACCCCAAAACTTTGACCTCGATTAGTTATAGATGAGTAATATAGCTACATTAATGTATTTATATTGTAAATAGCGATCATATTGATTCGGAAGGACTTCTTTGAGGTGACTTTGCTGGACTTTTTCAAGGGCTCTTGATTGGACTTTTTTAAGGGTTCTTGGCTGGAGTCATAGACATCAGGGCTGGAAGGGGCGTTGGAAGATTATCGAGTTCAGCCCGAGGGGCAGGAAGTCAGCTGGGGTCATAGGATCCCAGCAAAATAAGCATCCAAATTTCTCTTGAAGGTGTTCAATGTAGGTGCTTGAACCACCTCCGATTGCAGGCTACTCCAGACCTTGGGGGCTCAGACAGTAAAGAAATTCTTCCTTATGTCCAGCCTGAAACGGTCTTGCAGTAGTTTATGACCGTTCAACCTTGTCATCCCTTGGGGAACTCTAGTGAACAAACGTTCCCCCAGATACATTTGTATATGAGTCTGTGTATGAGTCTTCTCAGGAGTCTTGGCTGCAGGTTCTTCTGGAGTCTTGTCTGCTTTCTTAAAGAAAGTGTGCAAGGAAGTTTGGACAGATGTTCTCCAGGGAGATGAGTGATGCAGGGAACTTGTTTGCTGGCATGGCATTGCATCATATCAAGCGTTGTAAGTCAAAACTGGCATAAAGTTGAAACCAGGTGTCAATTTATAAACGTTGTGAGTGCAAACCATTGCAACTTGAAACGTTGTAAGTCGAGGACTGCTTGTATTACTGTATTGTTATGCCTGCTGGATACTAGGCAGGCATAACATGTACTCTCTCTTATGCACAGGTCATCAGTTGGAAGCAACGTGTGCTGCAAGCACCTTGCTTCTGCTCTGCAGGCAATGAATGTCATTAATAAAATACCAGTCAGCAGGAAGGCCAGGATGATAACACAACATGAACTTTGCACAGTTGGAACGTATCAGAGCAAAAAAAAAGTTACTGGTATTAAAACACTCAGCTCTTCACCCAGTGCACTATTATCCTGCAACCTGAGCTGCCCCGACTATCAGGGATATCTATGCAGATTATGTATGGCTGTACTGCTAGAGCTGAACTCCAAGGAGACAAACTCACTGGTCACGGTATGCCAGAGAGCAAGGAGCAGATGCTGGGTCCCAGAGACAGCCCCCTATTCTTTTCCCCCCTCCGGTCCAACTTTGGAGAAAAATGGAAGTGCTGCATGAAAAAAAAAATCAGCAGTTAACTCCCAGCTTCATCACCTTTGCTTAACCTGCTGCTGTGGTTCAGTGGTAGAATTCTTGCCTGCTATGCAGGAGACCTAGGTTTGAGTCCCAGATGCGTACATAACTACAGCTGTTAAGTCACTGAATATTGGGCCTTTGGATCCTGTTTCAATTGTCAAAAGGGTGACTAGAAGGCCTGGGCCACCTGCACTCCTTCATGCTCCTGCCTTGGCAAGACTTCTCCTGCATACACCATGATCCAGAAGCATTGATGGTTGACACTTCATCACCTCCTCTTAGTCTGATGAATGTACTCTGGCTTTGTCCCCGAGACAATCCACAATTACCCCATATCTGTTTTTCCCTTTCCTGAGTGCAAGCTCTTGCTGGCAGTGCTGTGGCAATGACAGCTGTGATTTTTTTTCACATTCCTAACTGCCAGCACCATGTCAACAAACCTCAAAGGCAGCCCAAACTGTGGAGACAAGTGTGTATTAATGCAAGCTCACAGCCATACTAGGAGTGAAATTGTACTTCCCTTTGCATGTCTGAGTGGCACTTTTCTAGCTGTCTACTTGGGTCCCCACTTTGTGTTTTAGATGCATAATAATGAGTCTATAGACTGCACAGTGGACGCATATGTAGGCAGCTGCCTGTGTGCACACAGTGTCAGCAGGCACATATATGAGCATAAAGCTGAGAAAAAGTGCATGTACATGTAGGTAAGGACTCCCCTATGTTTTAATCACAAGAGCCAAGGGGGTAAGGAACAGGCCCCAGGAGCCACACCCCACCCTATCTGCTAATCACCAAAACATGAGGCAAGCCTTAGACAAGCCCTTCTCGGGAGTCTCTTCTGAAGCTGAGCCTCTGCCCTTTGCATTTAATAATCATGGGAGAAAAGGGATGGAGGGCAGTGCAGAGCATAAGTTTTTGCCCATTCAGAAGCAAGGGTGCAGGCTAGAGCCCAGGGCCTGTTCTCTTCCAAGTCAACAGGCATCCCATAGAGTCACACAGGCTTCTCCTCACCTCCTTTCTAAGTGCACACATCATCCGGAGGGCCAGGCCCCAAAAGAAGACAAGCTTGTATCACTTCCAAACCCACTTCACATTATTGCTTTAACTGCTTCTATAGCCTGTAAATATTTGGCGAGTGTTGAATGAATTAGATGGGCCCTATTAAGTTCACTGACCATGTTCACCCTTCACTGAATTTTCTCACAGTGAAGTCCAAAAACACTGCAATTTCCCCAGACCAGAAATCGGCCAGTGCAGCTCCTTTCAGGACAAGGAGTGGAGAAAGCTTGTAGGCATTGGTCTTACAATAGATCAG